AAAAATCAATTATTGCAAATTTTTTGTCATTGAAATTACTGTCGGTTCTTCATGATGAATTAGAATTTCCTAAAAAATTAAAAACAAAATTTTGTTTAAATAAAATAATAAAAGATTTGAATTTTATAATTGGTGAAATTTACATAAAAGAACAGAATATTAACAATGAAACTGTTAAATATTTAACAGAAATTATAACAGAAATAAAAATAACATTAAATGAGAAAATATCAACAGTAAATTGGTTAAATGAATTGAGTAAAGAGAATTTCTTAAAAAAATTAAATGATATGAGAATTTTCCCGGGGAATTATGATTTTCCAATAATAGAAAATTTGAGAAATATTCAAAAAAATGTTAAAATCACTTCAAATTATTATTTAAATAATATTAATTTGAAAAAAATCAAATCATCATTGGATATATCAGAATTGATTCAAACAAAAAATATTACAGTCCCCAGAGATTTAATGAATCCAATGGTATTCTTTGCAATCAATGATCAATTTATAAATACCGTTTATTTATCAACAATATTATTAAATCCAGGATTATATCATCAAAAATATCCTTTAGCTGTTAATTATGGTGGAATTGGTCAATTAATTGGACATGAAATATTTCATGCTTTCGATCCAAATGGTATTCTTTGTGATATTCTACTTGAAAATTGTACACTTTTTGAGAATAATAAAGAAAATTTTTATAAAAAACATATGGGATGCCTTAAAGAACAATATGAACATTTTAAATATCCTGAAGCTAATGCTATTATAAATGTTGATAGAACATTAGAAGAAAATTTTGCTGATTCAGCTGGTGTTCGTATTGCATATTATGCATTTAAGAGACATTATGAAAAATTGAAAAATGAATCTGTATCTGGAAATAATCAATTTAATTTAATGCCAATTTTAAATTTTACTATTGATGAATTATATTTTGTTGCACAAGCACAAACACATTGTTCTACAATTAATTTTTATAGTTTATTTAATAATAGATTTTCTTATCATGCAACACCAATGGCTAGAGTAAATGGTGCTTTTCAAAATCTTGAAGATTTTTCGAAATATTTTAAATGTAAAGAAGGATCGAAGATGAATCCAATTAAAAAATGTGTACTATTTTGAAAATATAAACAAACTTAAATTAAAAAGTGCTCTTTTTTTTTACAGAAGAAATTTTCTATTCACTTTAGAAATCAGAAATAATTTTGAATTTTTTTTGTTTCACCTTAAAATCTCGAAAGACTGTCAGACGAAGAAATGGTAGTCGTAGATTTAAACTCACTAAAAACAATCACCGATCGAACAACAAGCGATCGAAAGTAGCTAATTTTTTTCCAAATTTATTCAAATTTTCTTTAACCTTTGATTCGGTACACAATAGTACTAAAATTATAAAATTGTCGTAATTTAAATCACCTGACAGCGTATTTACAAACACGTTTTCGATTGTCAACCATAGACTAGAGACGTTTTCATATTGGCAATTCAGTGTATCCTTTTTTTATGATCTGTAACACATCTGTGTTAATTAATAGAGCTCTTCTGTTTCCGAAACTTACAGAGTGAGTGACAGTTGGAATTTAAGGAGCAAAATTGAATATTTAACCACTATTAAGTAACTAATGATAATATGTTTGGCTTAAAGATTTTTGGTTTTGAAAGACTTAACCTTTGCAAGATGCTCAAATAAATGATATTTTTAATCTTATCGTTTAATTAATCGCAGAATTCTCAAATTTTTCTTTAACAATATAATATTATTAATTCAAATTCTAATAAACGCAATAATAAAAATTAATATTGTGAAAACAAATTTAATGTAATTTAATTCAAAAAACTCGCAATAAAACCATAGACTTATAAACATTAACATAAATATTTCTGTAAAAAAAAATGCATTATTGAAATTTATTTCGTCTGCAAAATTCAGACTTCTAAATTCTAAAAAAAAAAAATTAAACTAGGTTACCATATTGTTTAAGCAATAAAGAAAAATTTAGAACGATTAATTGAAATTAAATATTAAATAATAAAAACGAAACGCAGTTGAATATTCTCAAATAAATCAAATTTAATTTACGCATGTAATAAAATACTTTACAAGAATAATAATAATTTTCATATAGAAAATATAATCATCAAATCATTTTATTAAGGTCTATAATGCAATAATTTGCATTTTGAATATGGTAAAATAAAATCATTCACAATAACAAAGAATGGCAACGACATCAAGAGAGAAAATACCCGGAATAGAAAATTTAATCAAAAGAATATTCTCTTCTATGAGTAGAAGGTACGCAAGATGGAACTGATATCGTGTTGTATACCATTAAAAAAAATGCTTTAACTAGATCCAATTCTCGTTTCTTTTCATCTTACTATAATAAAACTATGGTTAATCTTAATAATTTAGTTATTTGATAACCATTCTATTGACAACATATTATTGTGTTACGCAATTTATTCATAAATATTATGAATAGATCTTCATACACGCGTCTTTGCAAAACCAAATCTAGAAAAGCGAATTGTGAAAAGTTCATCAATTAAAAATAGAATAACAATGAAAATTATTATAATATTATTCTTAATATTGCCAACCTATATCAATTCTTCAAATATTATAAAATTCAATGATGATCAAATTAAATTAATAAAAATACAAAATAGATTAAGTAAAAAAATTCTAGCCATTATGGATAATAAAACTGATCCTTGTGATAATTTTTATGAATATGCATGTGGAAATTGGGAAAATTATTTAGAAAATCAAAAATATCCGATAACAAATGAATATCCAGTTGTCAATACATTTTATACAATTGAAAATGAACTTATTAAAAGGATTAATAAAATAATGAAGAAAAAATATCAAAAAATACCAGAAAATTTAATAAACATTCAAAAATATTATAATGCTTGTATTACAAGTGATATTTTCATTCATAAAAATTCATCTGAATATCTTAATCTTTTACAGAATATTATTGAACTTAAGAGCACAAATAATAATTCAAATAAATTTGATTATATTAAAATTATAGCAGAAGTTGATAAATATTTTTCAGGAAAAGGAATATTTTTTGAAATTAAAATTACAAACTATTATCCTTTTAATATTATAATTGAAAAATCAGCACATATTGGAATTGGAAAATTTTCTTTGAAATCGAAAAATTTTATTGGAAAAGATAATGATCGTTTGTATTTAATTAATAAAGATTTAATGAAATTTTATTTGAATAATTATGGAATCGATACAACGAATGAATTAATTGAGAAAATTATGGATTTTTTAGGGAAATTTTCGAAAATATTGGAATTAGAATATAAAATTAATAATTTCGAACATGATAAATTACCAACATGCTATTATAATTTCTCGAAATACTTGCAAATCTTAACTGGAATTAATTTTAATGATTCTTCACTATTTTCGAAAACAATCAATCATAAGCCTAAAATAATAATTTATTTAAATAATTTAAAATATTTGCTGGATACAACAGAGACAATTGTTATAAAATATTATTTTGCATTAAAATTACTTGACAGATTACACACAGAACACAGATTTCCACCGAAACACTATAAACGATATTGTATTCTGAAATTAATACAAGATTATAGTTTTGTTATTGGTGATTTATATTATAAGGAATATATTAATTTAAATTTAAATTCGAATATACAAAAAATTTGGTTAAATTTAAAGGACTCTTTAATATCAATGATAAAATTATCAAATTGGATGGATAATATAACACGTGATAATTTTTTATATAAAACAAATTCAATGAAATTATTTTTAAGTAATATTACAGAATTTAATTATAAATATTATTTAGATATACAAAAATCTATTAATATACAAAATAATTATTATATAAATAATATTAATTTAATAAAAAAATTAACTGAAATTTATTTTTATCCTTATATTATACAACAATTAAATAATCGAACATTTCAAAATTCAAATGAATTAAATATAATGGAAATAAATGCTGAATATGATTTTTATAAAAATTCAATTTATATTTATTCAGCTATTTTAAATTGTGATCTTTATAATCAATATTATCCATTATTTATTAATTATGGTGGTATTGGTAATATTATTGGACATGAAATGTCACATGCATTCGATACATTCGGTATTAATTTCGAAATACGAAAAATTTATAATCGAATTTTAAGTAATCGTAATATACAATTATATTGGAAAAATATTCAATGTTTAATGGAATATTATGAAAATTTAAAATTTCCTGAATTTAATTTTAATACAAAAATTAATTATCGGACAATACATGAAAGTATCGCTGATAGTATTGGTGTTAAAATATCATATTATGCATTTAAAAAATCATATGAAAAATATAAAATTATTCATGATAGAAATTTATTATCACAATATTTAAATTTAACAGCATATCAATTATATTTTATTGCATATGCACAAAAATTTTGTACAACATTAAATTTACAAAATATTTTCGAATATGAAATGTCAAAATATCCAATTGGTATTGTAAGGGTTAATGCCGCTTTACAAAATTTTAATGAATTCTCAAATGTTTTTAATTGTAAGAAAAATACTAAAATGAATCCAATAGAAAAATGTTCAATTTTATAAAATATTTTGTTATACTGCAAATTAACGTAACCGTAGTAAAACTTTAAAAACAACTGCATTCTAGCCTCGATTTTTTCACTCCGCAGTTTGCTTTCTTACTGCATAGTTAAAACCTATCTTAAGCAATTTGAATCTTGCTACATTCTATAAATTTTTTATTCTATTTAATGTTGATCACAAATACAATGCAGTACAACATTAATATCGCATTTTGGATGTCAGGAATACTTGCAAAACCAATTTGTTACAATAAAAAAAATACAAAAAAATTTTTTTTAACATTTACTTAACAAATATTTTATTTACGATTAAAATATTATATAATTTATTAAATAATACTATTATAATAAAATTATAATAAAAAATTAATAAAACTTATTTTATTGTATGAATTGATTTATTGTATTATAAAATATTAAAATTAATAATAAATAATTAAAATTTCTAATAACAGCAGAATTCTCGAAAGCAGAATATTTCTTCGGTGCAATAATTTCTATAACTGTAAAAGCAATAAATATTTATTTTTAAGTAAAACATCAATTAAAATTTGTATGAATAAATAGAAAAATATATTCACCTCCACCATTCCCCATACAATAATATCCACCATCATATTCTGTTAAATTTGGGCAATCCGAAACATCATCAATTAAATCTTCATTAATATAATAACTTTTTGGTGGCACATAACCATTTGAAAATTTAAAAATTCCAATTAAAATAATTGTTATAATTAGTATTAATGTAAAATTAACATTATAATTAAATGACATTTTTAATTATAAAACTATTTAGAATAAAATTAAAATATCACAATCACAAAATGTTCTATAAAAACATGTCTGTTTGAATTGAATGTTTAAAAATTACTAAATCACATTTATATTCATACGTATATAAAAATAATAACTTTCAAATGATTGATTTTAAATTTTGAATGTCAATAATAATTATTATATTATAGTTACTTTAATGGTATAAGTAGAATTTCCTACTTCGATTTTTAAAATCGATATCATTATAATATTTAAGGGTTTTCTGTAGAAGATTTCCTGAAAAAATAACTTCAGCGAATCTCTTTGTCATCTTTTTGGAAATTTGTTAAAAAATCCATATTTCCATTGCTGCAGTTTCTTATTATTCTTCTTGAGTCATGAGTGTTTATAGAACTCATGTTGGTTTTGACACTATGTACTTTTGATAGTACTCAATTTTCATTATTAATATTAACTAACATGTGTCAAAAAAGGTGTTACCTTTCTTTGAAAAATTGCCACAGATTTGAATATTTCAATAGAGATTAACAAGTTGAACGAAATTTTCCCATACAGCGCTACAATGAGCTACACAGAAATTTTAAATTGTCACAATTAACATTTCCATTAATTTTGACATTCACAATACGAGTAATACGCAATTTCGTCATTATTACTAAATATCGATAGACTGCCAGACGTTTTTCATTAAAATGAAAATTATGTAAAATATTTTTGCATTTTGAATTAGTTTGCTAAATTCTTATGTCAATGTGCTAAAATAAACTGATAAGAATTTTTTTTTATGATTGTTTAGTCAATTTTTTGAATAACGCAATTTCTAAAAAATTTTCGGCTCATTTCAAACAAAAATCATGTATTTTTATTTATTTTTTATTAATCGTCACAAATTATCAAAGGTTTTTTTTTTTGCAAAATAAAGAAAACAAAAACAAAAACCGCAACACATTGCTTTACACGCTTGTTTTTACTGATAAGATATGCTCATTTTCCAATTTATGAAACATTCATCAAAAAAGTTGAACATTCAATTTGTTAGACAAAACTTATAATTTTTTTTTTTTTGATTATTTTTATTTAAATGTTATCATTTTGCAATTTGTTATCTCTTTGTGATTTAGTACAAATTTAAGGTTGCCATCATATAGTGAAAATCTTTAAATTCAGATTACTTTTGGGGAAAACTGAAAGTATGTAATAATAATAAATTTCCAATATTATTCTTAGGTCTACATAGAAAATATTGTTGACTTTGATTTACAAAAAATTTAAACTTCTATGCGAATACGGAAAACAAATTTATTTGACAAAATTTCGGAAAATATGGAAATTTCGTTCTATTACAAGAAGAATGTCGAACTAATTATAAATTTCTCAAGTCTTTTTATTTGAATTAAAATGATTTTATTAAAGAAAGTTTAAGTGTTGCTATTAAGTATAGCTCATCAAAATTTTTTTTCTTTTTCGAATCAATATGGGAACTTTGTCAACTACAATTAAATTTTCATATGAAATACAGACAATCTTTAATCACAATTCAAAAATTTATTTAACAAAAATATAAGAGAAAACATAGCGCTTTTACCGAGACTTTTCATTTACTTTTGATTGTTGATAGCTCTATAAAAAAATAAAAATCCTGTTGATTGTGGGTAAATAATCATTGCAATAATACGAAAACGGAATTACTAAGAAAACCTTATTCATCTTAAGAGATCAGTTGTTTTTAAATTATGACTGTAGAGCATATAAGCTGAGTTTGTTGAATTAGATTTTTATAATCAGGAAGTTATTGGAAAATTGCAAAAAAATCTAGAATTTAATTAAATTGTATATTAAAATCTAGTGTTCGATAGAGTGATTAAAAGCCTTAAATGAGCTTATCATTAATTATTTAAAATATGAAAAATTTTAAAATAAAAGACAAATTTAAAAATAATTTCAACAAATTCTTGTAATTAAATGAAAATAATTTTTATAGGTAAGGTAACCAAATTTTATACTCGTAGGTCTATAAAGTGTTTCAAATTATTTAAAATTGAAGTGAAGCTGTCACAAGTTACAATAGCTTTACATTATTAAACAAGCATTTTCGAACTATATTTCAAACCTAATATTTACATGGGATTCATAAAGGAAACTTTACAAAATAAATTTATTGAAATAAATATTTAAGAACACAAATTTTTTATGTAACTGCAAAACATTTTAATAATATCTTTTATTTTATAAAATCAACATTCAAATAAAATTTTACTAATAAATTTACAAGAAAAATTCAAAATAACAAATAATAATTATTCACAATAGAAATTATAATATATATATATACGAAATTTAATAAATTTTTCAAAAAATACTACATTTTTCTATTGGATTCATTTTACTTCCAATCGGACAATTGAATACTTTCGAAAATTCAGGTAAATTCTCTAATGGTACATTAACACGTAATTTCATAAATGCATATGATGATTCAGATTCAAATAGATATTGTTTACGATAATATGTTGAACAATATTTTTGAGCATGTGCTATAAAAAATGTTTGTAAATGATTCCAATCAGTATTTGGTAAAATTTCTTGCATCAATTGATTATATGTCATTGAATTTACAATATTCTTATATGCTTTATATGCTAATTGTAATCCACCACTATCAGCAATATTTTCACATAATGTTTTACTACCATTAATTTTAATATTAATTTCTGGAAAATATTTTTTATTATATTGTTCTATAAAACATTTAGTACGATTTTCATAAATTTCTATATCATTTTCAGTCCATTGTCCTAATAAATTTATTGATGCTGTTTCACTTAATTTTATTGAATCTGTATCAAATGTGTGGGACATTTCATGTGCCATCATTTGTCCAATTGCACCATATATTATTGATTTTGGATATTTTTCATCATATAATGGTGGTCTTAAACTGACTGCATTCAATTGTATTGTATTTTTAAAACGATTATATGATGCATTTATTATAATTGGATTTAATACAATTAATGGATTAATTGTATAATTTGCATGACTTATCGAATGATAATATTTTAATTTATTACGTAATAGAAAACTTTTTAAATTATTTGCATAATAATTATTTGTAAAATTAAAATTTTCAATTATTTCAATTAATTCCGATAATATTGGATCATTTAAATAGCCCATATGAACAATACGATTTTGTATTTTTTTTATTGCATTAATTTTTGATTCAACCGTATATAAATCTGATAATAAAATAATTTCGGTTTGAGCTTCTTGTAATGTTTTATAAATATTAATTAATTCATTATATTCTTTATATTGTTCATATTTATTACGATAGATGTCAGCAATTAAAAATGATAGATCAATTTTTGTTTTTGATAAACAAAATGATTTCTTTGTACTTATCCATCTCTGTTCAATATGCAATTGATATAAAACATTTAATGATAAATAATTTGCAATTGCTTCATAATCATTTAAATCGAATAGGTTTGATGTGAAATTTTGAAAAAATTCTTGATTTTTAAATAAAATAATAAAATGATTATCTAATTTTTTTGTTTGCAATACAATTTCATAATATTTACGCCAATCGAAAATATCATCTTTTATATTTTTAATTTCATATAAATAATTAATTTCAATATCAGAATCATTTCCTTGTGCGCTATAATTTAGAAATTTATAACCAAATTTCATAATATCATCTGTAATTAAAAAGAGATGAGAATTAAAATAATTAATTTTAATTATTTTGAATTGTGATCTTAAAAACAAATAAAGTCTTAATTGAATTTTATTAATTTTAGCCAAAAATTTGTTTATTTTAATTAACTTTATTAATATAATTAATGAATTTGCTACCATATAATTATTAAACATTTTCATTTACTTAATTAGAATTTAGAATATAATTAGCTACATTAAGTAGAATAAAATTTTAAGTATTCAAAAATTATACAAAAATGGAATAAATTAGAGTTTTGTATAACAATATAAAACTAATGAGATAAAGCAATAATCTATAGTAATTAACAATATTCAATCTAATAATTGTCTGTTAATAAACAAAATTTAATTGAATTTACGCCAATTTTCATAAATTTTTAAATTTTTAAATTTGAAATTAAATTATATAAATTAAATATATAGACGAAAATGACAATATTTTAAACTATTTATAATTATGTAGCATTTTTGGATAATTATTACATAAGATAAATAATAATGATTTGTTTTTTGTCAATGATATGATTGAATTGATAGTCGTATACAAGGGTTAAACAAATTAACAGCCTTAATAACTGGGACCTATAACTTACATCTATTCAAAATTATTTACAAATTTTAAGAATTATTTATAGATTGTAATTATTACCTATAATTTTAATTGATTTCATTTCACTAACACCATATAATTTTAAAAAATATTTCATTATCTCTTTATCTATTTCAATTTTTATTGAATATTCCATTTCGAAATCATTTAATTTTATATCAGAATTTAAACCAAATGTTTCCAATGGTATTAAACATGGACAATATGGATGTACTTCAGCAATTTTTATTTTAAATAAACAATTACTATTTATTAAATTACAATAACCAGTTGATTGACTTAAATCAAATTTATCTTTTGACCAATTTTTATCGATTGCCGGAAATCCAATACCATTTTTAACAAATTCTATATATTCTGTTATTGGTTTCATTTCAAATATATTCTCTTTCATACATATTTTATAATAATTTCTTGCTTTTAATAATCTTTTTTTTAATTTTTCATTTGAATTTTTCAAATAATTTTCTTTTAATTCATTACTTGTTAATATATAATTTAAACGTTCTAATAGATCATCTTTTAAACCAATATAAAAATTAGCACTTGGTTTATTAATATCATCTTCGATATTATGATATTTTTCCCAATTACCACATGCATATTCATAAAAATCATTACATGGATCAGCTGTTAAATCAGCAATTGATAAAATTTGTTTACCAAGTGATTCACGATATTTTTGTAAATCTTCAATTGGATATTTTAAATTTTTTTTATTTTCAAA